TCACAAGCATACTGCCTCCGGAGAGCAATCTGGTCGAACCTCCTTCTTCCCTGTGCATGGTCAAGCAGCATCCCCTTCCTATGGGGATCGGACGGATTCTACCAAGAACAGTGAAGGGACCTCTCCAAGGACGAAGATTGTGCCCTCCTCCAATTTTGTCGTCGCACAGGTACAGTCCGGTTAGCATGTACCTAGCATAGCCTCTGCTTCGAACACTATGAAGGGATGGTTGCTGCCAGCCTCTGCCACGAAAACCACGATCCTTCGTCTTGTGCTCACCTCCCCCCCCCCTCTTCTTTATTACTTGCCCAGCATGCCGTTGTGGCCTTGATCTGACATGCTTGAATAATTGCGCACGTCAGCCTTCTTTGTTGATGACATGTGAGCAACATGCCATGTGTCGTCAATGTTTTGAGGAAGTTGTCATAGAAAGTATGTGTCTCTACAGTGTGGACTATCCCCGCTGCCATCCTCCACCACATCGTCTTCTGGCATGTCCAACATGTGCTGTTGGTCATAGACCTGTTGCAACCGCAGTCGGAATTCCTTCTTCTTTGCTTGACAAATGAAGGGCACAACAGCCTGAGCAGGAACATAGATTACCATATGAACCACCTACAGAGCGCTGTACTGATAGGTTGTGTCCACCAGGGCGAGTTGTTGCATTCCTGCAGCAGCTGAACGCCCTTGGTTTGGATCAATCTTCCCCATCGTCGTCTACCCATAGAGAAGGAATATGCTCCATGGTGCTTTGTGATGACCCACCGGAGTTTCAACTAGCATGTGGTTCGCATGCCTTATGCCATGAGGATTATGAAGGGATAGCCTGGGCGAGCTTTTGTCTTCATACGTATGATGGCAGTCTATATTGCTCTTATGTACGACAGCCTGACATGTCATGTCCAATTTGTAGACGGGCTGGAACGACAATGCCTCTACAATTGAGGTCGACGTGCCTCTGTGTTCCTTGCATGAAGGACCCTCTTGGCCTGCGACACTTGTCTACGCCGTGCCTAACTGTGACTGTGAGAATTGGATGTGGTGCTTCCACAGGCCACACCCAAACCGGTCCTGCCCGGTCTGTAGAGGTGGCCACTTACCATAGGCAACAACTGCTCCTCATATGTTATGCAAACCACACACTGACTGGTCCTCCCTCCTCTTGTGTGTTACTAGTATGTACGAAAAATGAGCATCATTATTAGAACAAACAAAATACAAGTTGAAGAACTGAGAAGAAATGAACAGGATTATACCTCCGCCTTTGCTTTGCCTCCTTTCATAGTGTGCAAGTGGGCCGTTACGGCACATGGGGATGTGGGCAGTTCACGCTCAACCACAATCAACGTGGCAAGCCTTGTGCTTGAGAGGCATGGTAAAGGGGGAGTTGTAAGAACAAATTTAAAGGGGTACCCCAAAGAAAGCAAATGTGAACCTATTCAAGAAAGGGGTTTACATGCTTCTATTGCATTTCATGTTGCTTGCTATAAAGGTGAAATTGTTTCATTGTTGGGTTGTCTGAACTCAAGGGCCTTCATTGTCTGTAATAGGATTGAATTTAATTTCAATATGCTTTGATTTTGGATCTGCTCATCTAGGTGGAATAGCGGCTGTTGTGGTGAAAATCCCAAACACACATGCACATACACACACACACACACACAC